GGCTTTCCATGAATGTCTACTGGATGCAAACCTTAGAGATGTGGGTTATGAAGGATACCAGTTTACCTGGGAGAACAGAAGAAGAAATGCAGGATACATAGAAGAGAGACTAGATAGGTTCATTGCCTCTGAGCAATGGACAACCCTTTTTGGTAATTTTCGGGTAAAAAACCTCGACAAAACAAGATCTGATCACAGGCCCATCATTTGTGACACAGAAGGCGATGAGGACTAGGAACCAAAATGGGGGTGGAGTTTTCATTTTGACCCGCACTGGGCGAAACATGAAGAGAGCAAGAAGGTTGTGGAAGAGGCGTGGAAGGAATCAGGGGTCTTGGGAGTAATGGAGAAGATGGGCAAGTGTCGAGAATTGTTGGATGGCTGGAGCACTAGAACTTTCCCAAATTTTACTAGGCAAAAGGGGAAACTCCAAAGAGCCCTGCGGAAGTTGGAAAGAATGCACCAATTGCCAACGGTATTGGCGCAACGATGGCAACTTGAAGAAGAACTGGCCAATCTAGAGGATGATGAGGAGAGCTATTGGAAACAACGTTCTCGATCGGATTGGTTAAAGGAGGGTGATAAAAATGCCAACTATTTTCACAAGAAGGCCACTGCTAGAAGGCAGCGAAATACAATCCGTAAACTGCAAGATGCCTCGGGAAGGTGGTACGTTGGCCTTGAGCAATTGTTTGAGTGCTTTACCTCTTACTTCGGCGAGCTCTTTTTGGCAGGGGAGGTGCCCAGCTCAACGCCGGTGATGGATGCAATCCCAAAAACTGTGACCCAGGCGGATAATGACATCTTGATGCGGGAGGTGGACAAGGAGGAAGTGTTCAAAGCTTTGAAACAGATGGGAAGGCGTAAGGCACCTGGCCCGGATGGCCTTTCTCTGGCGTTTTTCCGGTCATATTGAGATATAGTAGGAGAGGATATTAGTCTTACCGTAAAGGAAATCATTGAAAAAATGGAGATGCCCCCGAACCTAAATCACGCACTGTTAGCTCTGATCCCGAAAGTGAAGTCACCGAGCTCCCCGAAAGATTATCGACCTATTAGTTTGTGCAACATGTTGTATAAACTAGTGGCCAAAGTCCTGGAAAACAGACTGAAGATGGTACTAAATAAGGTCATATCTCAGGAGCAGAGTGCTTTTGTCCCTGGACGGTTCATTACTGATAATGTTATGGCTGCTTTTGAGTGCTTCCATACAATGAAGAATAAAGGAAAAAAGGGTGTCGGTTTTCTGGCAGCAAAGACAGATATGGCGAAAGCCTATGATCGGGTGGAGTGGCATTTCCTGGAAGGTGTGATGAGACGCATGGGATTTGTAGAACGATGGGTGCGGGTGATAATGATGTGTGTGAGCACAGTATTGTTCTCTGTGCTGGTGAATGGGAATCAGTCTTCTATTTTCCAGCCAAGTAGAGGACTCTGACAGGGAGACCCACTGTCCCCATATTTGTTTCTTCTCTGTGCAGAAGGACTATCGGCATACACCGCGAAGGCGCTAAAGGAGAAGAGGATCCATGGCATTCAGCCAGCCCGTGGAGCTCCAATGGTGTCACATCTTTTTTTCGCTGACGATTGTATATTTTTTACCAGGTCAGCAATTGAAGAAAGCAAGGAACTAAAGCGGATACTAAACGACTATGAAAAAGAATCTGGCCAGATGGTTAGCTTTGAGAAGTCGGAGGTGTTCTTTAGTTCCAATGTGCTCCCCCATCGGAGGTTGGAAATTGGAGGAGTACTCGTTATGCAGCTAGTCACGAAACACAACAAGTACCTGGGGTTGGCTACGGAAACGAGAAGATCAAAGAAAATATTATTTGATGGGATAAAGGAAAGAGTCAGGAAGAAGCTAAATGGTTGGAAGGAGAAAACCCTTTCGGTGGCAGCAAGGGAAGTCTTGATCAAGTCGGTAGCGCAAGCCCAATTAGCGTACGCTATGTCTGTGTTCCGCATACCAGAAGGAGTGATTGACGAAGTTCACAGCATGATCATGAACTTCTGGTGGGGACAGCGAGCGGACGAGCAGAGAAGGCATGGGCTGAGAAGAGAGGATATGGTGAACTCGAAGAAGGAGGGAGGTATGGGGTTTCGGGACTTGAGAGGTTTTAACGAGGCGCTTCTTGCAAAGAAGCTATGGAATCTCATCCAACGGCCTCAAACACTAATCGCTTGAATCTTGAAGGCGAAGTATCATAAAAGAAAGATGATCATGGATGCTACGGTGGGATACCGCCCGAGTTTTGTTTGGCGTAGCCTATTGAGTGCGCAAGATTTGATGAATCGAGGATTACGATGGAGAATAGGTAATGGGGAGAACGTGAGAATTTGGGGGGACCGCTGGCTCCCGAATACTGACTATCAATTTGTGATCTCGGCTCCAATGGGACTTCCAATTGATTCTTATGTTAAGGAATTAATTGACACAGTAAAGGGAACATGGGATGACGTTGTGGTGGAGAGCTGTTTCCCCATGAAATTGAGAAAGCCATCAAGCAGATCCCACTTAGAGGAAATGGAGAGGTGGACACCCTGGTATGGCACTCGAATAAGAAAGGGAACTATACATCAAGAGAAGGGTATTATTTATGGCTGAAGGACTTCATGGCCCAGCATGGAGTGGCGGCGGTGGGAACTACAACATTATGGCAGAAGCTATGGAAATTGGAAGTGCCACCAAAAGTGAGACAATTTTTGTGGCTATTCACGCGAGAGATCCTCCCGACCGGTGCAAAGGTGGATCCTCACAATTCCCGTAAAGGCAATAGATGCCCGTTCTATCAACAACGGGAGACACAATACCACTTCTTTGCTGAATGTGAATGAACATCGCGGATTTGGCGAAAGACGAAGGTGGCTGGCTATTTCGAGATGAGGGGAGATGGGTCGGCTTTATCATGGATGTCGACGGTTTTCGAGAAAGGAAAGGAGGATGAAATAGAGGCTTGGTGCTTACTCCTTTGGTATCTCGGGAAGGAAAGAAACGTTCATTTGTTCAATGGAGCTAAACTACCCGAAGAGGAGATTCCAATCCGCGCAAAAAGTTATCTGGAAGACTATAAGAAGAATCAGCAGCAGCGAACCGTTGTGGACAGGGAGCCGGAACTGATCCGTAAAGCTTGGAAGAAGCCGATGGTGGGAACTACTTCGGTATGCATGGATGCTGGCTTGTATGGGGAAGATGGAACAGGGCTTGGAGTGGTTATTAGGGATTCAAAGGAAAAATTCATAATGGCAACGGCAAAGAAGATTCATGGCAAATGGGAAGTGGAAGAAGTAGAAGCAATGGAGGCGGAGCTAGGGGTGCAACAGGCTTTCCAATGTCAGCTGCCGAACGTACTGCTGGAAACAGACAACTTGTCACTCGTACAGAAGTTGCAAGACGCAGAGACAGTATTGGATGAGACTGGAGTCCTTTGCCGAAGCATTAGTCGCTATGTTAAGAGCTCTGGAACAGGTCGGTGGCAACATATATGCAGGGAGGCAAATGGCGCAGCTCATGTAATGGCACATGTCGACATAAGGTGGGCTGAGAGAATGGTCTGGATAGATGATCCACCAACTTGTCTTATTAATCAACTTCAGCTGGATAATGTAGCAGCTTTCACCTGATTAATAAAAGTCATCACAGATTTATGTATAAAAAAAATGTCTCAACAATACAAAACAGGGATTTCACTGTCACAGGGCTTGATCAGACATCACATTACTCGAGCTGACAACAACCATGTAAAAGTCACTTATAGCACTATTTAAGAAAGACAAAGACTCCTCACTTAAAAGATCGGGCATTTCCAAATAAATTTCTCCTCGTCGCTATTGAGTTGCCAACTCATATACAGGAGCGGAGGGAGAGAGTTAGAGGGTGGGTAGAAAATGGTCAATTAGGTACAATAGTTAATCGTGTATGAAAAATAATACGTATTTAAAAGAAATTGGTAGACCTTTGAAATATTTGATGTATGATTTATAACGAGCGTTGACATATTCAATGTATTTATAACGAGCTATGTACAAATGATAATGATGTATATGATTCGCCCAAAATTGAAGATGTATGTATTCAATATTTACAACAAATTTCCACCAAATCATCATTCATTTGTAAAAATAATTTTATTTCAATCAGGGGTAGGGAGATTGTAACAGGTGTTTCCTAAGAACGAAAATGAGTAAATAAGTATAATAGGTAATTGAGAATGAAATCTAGGGCACTTCTAATTGAGAATGCTTGACTGAGATATCATTTGTTTGAATCTTTGTAACCCCATTTGTTAAACACATGATATTCGAATTTACGTAAACTTTAAGCACACATAAGTTGGTTGTAGTAAGCAAGAAAGTGTTAGTAATATTAGATTCATTATTAAATCTTTCCTAACAACTCGAGTTAATGATACTAAACGGTCTTGACGAAGAACACGATTCAAAAGCAAATGTCTAACTAAATCATAAATAATTGTTTGATACACATATGGTGATATTCTTGATAGTTTTGACATATAATTTAATTTACCAAGTTTTTGCAAATACAAAATTATATCATGAACGATTTAGAAAGCTAACAAAATTATTTTATCGTATGTATTTTTTCTAAATGGACCTACCCTCGACAAAATCCTGACTACGCCCCTGCTCATATACCGTGATAACAACATACGAAAACGAAATTACTCACCATGCTTTGAATCTTTCTACCAAAATTACTATGAATCTCTGTTAAGACTCGAATGCATTCACAGCCGCTATATTGTACTTCTATAGTGTTATGATATCGCTAGATTACAAATCTGTTGGTCAATTATCAATCTCCTTGTAATAAATTTTGGCAAGTAGCCATGGGATGGTATTGCCATGAGAAAATGGAGAGGGAAAAGAGAACGTGGAGCGCCGGAGGAGAGAGAAACTGAGAAAGAGAAAGATGAAGAGAGAGAGAGAGTTGGAGAGGGACACCCCTTCCATTCCACCGCCCATAAGGTCATAAGCACGCAGTCTTCTTTTTCTTTCCCTTCCTAACCAAAAACCCAAACCCATCATCTTTGGATCCAAAATCCAACCCTAAAACCTCTTCTCTCTTCCACCCACCAACCCCTAAACCATTCCCAACCCAATAATAAAAAAAAGCCCTCCTTTCCCTCTCTCTCCCCTTCTCCTCCTAAGCTTTCTTCTCCTTCTCCTTGTACTCCTCTCTGAACTCTCACCAACACATCCCCCTCACTCTCTAAAAGCATGATACCATGATCCCTCACCAACAAAACCTCTACTCCTCCATGGCTCCCCACTTCTAGCTACCACCAAACCCATCTCTTCCTCCTCCTCCTCCAAGTTCATCAGCTAGCTACCTCCTCCATCTTCAGCTCCAAATCCCTGAATCCACCGATCATCATCCATTATTCAACCCACAATTCCCTGCTCCATAACTTGTTTGAGCTCAAGATCCAACCCAATAACCAATTAGATGCCGGCCCTCCCCCACTTTCCCATTTCCACCCCAAAAGCACCTCTCTTTAGCTAGGGAAAGGAAAAACCCAAATCAGTAATTTCCAGCACGTACACAAACAAGCAAGGAATGGATCCGGTAACGGCCCACGGCCATAATTCCCTGCCACCGCCGTTCCACACCAGAGACTTCCAGCTCCACCACCAATTCACCCAACACCACCACCACCAACAACACCAACAACACCAGCAGCAGCAGCAGAATTCGGAGGACGAGCAGAGCGGAAGCAGCAGCGGCCTCAAAAACCACAAGCGGGACCGAGACGACAACTCCCACAACTCCAACCCCAACGACTCCTCCAGCAAGGACCTCATGGCCGCCTCAGCCGGCGGCGGAGAGATCACCCGCCGCCCCCGCGGCCGCCCCGCGGGGTCCAAGAACAAGCCCAAGCCTCCCATCATCATCACCCGCGACAGCGCCAACGCCCTCCGGACCCACCTCATGGAGGTCGCCGACGGCTGCGACGTCGTCGAGTCCGTCGCCACCTTCGCCCGCCGCCGCCAGCGTGGGGTCTGCATCATGAGCGGGACCGGCACCGTCACCAACGTCACCCTCCGCCAGCCGGCCTCACCAGGCGCCGTCGTCACCCTCCACGGCCGCTTCGAGATCCTCTCCCTCGCCGGATCCTTCCTGCCGCCGCCCGCTCCCCCTGCGGCGACCGGGCTGACTATCTACCTGGCCGGGGGCCAGGGGCAGGTCGTGGGCGGGAGCGTGGTGGGGACGCTGACCGCCTCGGGACCCGTGGTGATCATGGCGGCGTCATTTAGCAATGCCGCGTACGAGCGGCTGCCGCTCGAAGACGAGGATCCGGGGATGGCGGGGCAGCCTGCTCCGATTGGATCTCCCGGCGGAGGTGTGGGGTCCGCCGTGCCACCTCAGCAGCAACAGGTTATGGGTGGGGCCGGGTCGGGTGACCCGAGTGGAGCTCCGATGTTTCACGGGCTGCCGCCCAACCTACTCAATTCCATCCAGTTGCCCGCCGACGCCTACTGGGGCGGCGGCAACGGTGGTGGTGGCGGCGGGGGACGTCCTCCTTACTAGTGGAATCGAGATTGCACCGACGGTTAGCAATTTCTTGAACGCTCACTCTCTCGTTCTCGCTCCTGCTCGTTGAATTGTCCAGACTTTTGAAGGAGAAGAATCGAAGGGAGCGATAAAACAACAGAAAAAGGAGCAAAGGTTTATTCATGTAGCTAAGTAGCATCCTCCCTCTCTTTCTTTTCTCTAATTTGCTCTCTCTCTTTGTTGTAGAAGAAGAGGAATTTGTCGATTGTTTTCCTTCTGGTTTTTGTTTTGATTTTGGAGGATTCATCAATTAGTTTCCCGTTTCCTGATTTTTTCTTCTTCTGTGGATTGTTCCAACGATGATGATCGTGAAGGGGGTGGTGTTGTGTTTTATCTTATGATGGGTCTTAATTATCTTGTTAGTGCTTCTTATATTACAATGTGCATTGCATTTGATTTGATTTGATTATGGTCATGTGATGATGGCTAGGTAGTAGCTAAATTCTTTTTTTAGTTGTAATGTTGTTTGTTTGACAATGTTGTTTTAATTATCTTGTTAATATAATGCTTCTTATATTACAATGTGTTGTGTTTGTAATGTCTTTTTAACTATAACTTCATGATCTAGTAGCACTACATGTTAGTTAATTAGTTTCTTCCAAATTTAACAAGTACATTATGAGAGAGCTAGTTCCTTCTTCTTCCCCTCATCTATGAGAAACCAAAGAACCGGAACGCCAAAAAAGACATATTTGTTAGATCTTGATCAATATTTGGAGACCACATTTTTGTTAGTAAATTTTTATTTATGGCTCCTCTGAAATCATTTCCCATAGCCACTAAGCTAGATCTAGATTTTGGGGTAGTTTGATATTAATTATAGATGAAAACGTCTTACGATACATACATCAGGTAACTGATCCTTTCATTTACTCGTCAATCCCATACATTGAATTGAGTTGTCGCTATGTATGACTCTATATATCGTTCGTTTTTTTTTTCCCGCAATCTTCAACCTCAACAAATTAAATTTCTAGGCTTAGCTATAACTACCATACGTTCTTATGACTGCATTTCACATCATAAAATCATGTAAGCATATATGGGGCAAGATGAGTAGGATGGATATGGGTGGTGTATTGAACCTTAATTTGTGTGTTGGCCAGGAATTGTAGGGACGATGAAGTTGCCCTTTTTTTTTTTCTTTTCATGGGTTTGTGTTCTTGGTTTCACATATATATACATAAATAAATAATGGGTTGATGTAGAAGGAGAGGGTGGGTCGTGAGCCATTGAATATAGATAATTGGGGTGGGAGAAAGTTGAAGGGAGGGTCAAAGGGGCGATGTGATTGGATTGGATTGGGAAGGTTTCAATAAAAGCTGGCCCAAAAAAAAAGGGTGACGGTTTCAAGGAAGAGGAGGCAAGAAGGAGAAATGAACCCATTTACGAGGCCGAGGGAAATGGCAATGGAAGGGAAGAGAAAGAGAGGATTGAGGCTAGAGGAAGAGGAAACCAAAGGCAGGCAGGTTGATAATAAAGCATTGAGGTATGGGCTTCAATTAGCTGTGTCTTCCTCTCTCTCTCTCTCTCTCTCTCTCTCTCTCTCTCTCTCTTTATCAATAAAACAAAACCATTTTGAGAATTGATGATATCTTGGGTGGGTAGTGGAGTTGTGTTTCTACACGTGCACTGCTCTGAACTAGCTCCTTTTCGAGGCAACACCATAACACATTCTAAACCATATTTCACAATTTCTCATTTTCCATGTTATTGGTTCGGTCATGTACTCATGTTGATGTTGTTGAATTCACATCCTTTTCCTCTTTTGGATTTCCCCTTTTCCCCCCCTGTTGTCCTTTTATTTTTACCCTCTGGTTTGAAATCTCTGTTCCTTTCTTCCTTTCTTATCTTTCTGGAGAACTGACAAAGGAAGAACGGGTAGGGTTGGGGAGCAGGTGAAGCTTTGAGAAAGAGAGACGACTTAGGGAGGGAGAGAGAGAGAGAGATGGCCGGCCTGCCGGCCGGATATAACTTAATAATAAGAGTCGGTGAGATCAGAGAGAGAGAGAGAGTGAGGTTGCTTGTGAAAGTTGTTGAAATCTTTGCTGAAAACCCCTTTTTTTGTCAGTAGATGGAGCTCCAGAGTCCAGAATGAAAACCTAGCTCTTTTGATATCCAGGCTTGTTTCTAGCCAGCTACTTAATTATATATGCATGTACTCATACATAGCTATAGCTATGCAATGTAACGTGGGATGACAGATATGGCCATGAAACTTCATTATTCATCATCAAAGTCGCTTAAGTACAAGTGGGTATTGCTGATATGGGTTTAGTGCGTAGCTAGACATCGAGTCCACTAGCGTTCTTAAAATTTTACTAATATAAATGCTTGTGTACCTAATGAATTTTGAGTTAACCGGGGTCCTTGGTGAGCTAACATTGTTGAGTGTATGAGGTCCTAAACTTGAATTATCGTACTAAAACCTATGTATTTAAAGGGTTTTGTTGCCCAATTATTTGCCAAATGGGGTCCTAAGACCCTTCTCCTTCTTACCTCCCTCCCCCATAATATATGGACCAATTTTGTGAACGTGAGGGTTTCTTCCTCTCTTTCTTGCCCGTTTTCTAGGGTTTCTTCTTCCCTTTCCTGCTTGTTCTTCTCCCCGTTTTCTTCTCTCGGGTTTACGAGGAAAGGGACGAAATGCATGCATGCGGCTACAGTAGTACTACTTTTACGCTACCTAGCTATGCAGATTCATCATGAGAGAGAAGACAGTGTTCATATTTTACTTACGGCGGCGTACATATTATCAATAATGGACAAAGGCAAACATGAGTGCAGAGCTCGAGCGACGGAGAGAGATCGCCATGCACAACCGGCCAATGGTCGACCTAAAGCATAATCATGGAAGGGGAAACCTCTCAGCCAGCTAGCACATGGAAATTAAAGTCGTAGTAGTACGGTTTCCTTTCGATCCGTACACCTCTGCAGAGCATCCTCGTCATAGTTCGTTCATTTCAAAGCTCTGTAAGAGAACGAACATTACATATCATCAGGGAGAAGCTAAGGCGCCAACGATGGAAGAAATTGAACCGAGAGTGGACCAAAAGGTAAGAGCTTACTAGGTAGACATATGATGAGTACGAATGTGGACTGCGTATTCTTGAGCCATTCCGTTGAAATATTTTCTTGGAAGAAGTCTAGTGGACGCCTTGTTCTAAAATTAAGAAATTATTCAATTTGATTAAGTATAATAAATAAAAATGTTCATAGCTTTATTTAAACAATAATTTGAATTAAAATGATCTATTAACACTTCAAGTTTTGTATTATATATGCGAGAAATTTATTTTCAATCATAATAATTCTTAATCCATTAAGAATTTATTGTGTCATTTTATAACAAAAATAGGAATTGCTGAACACAAATAGGATTTTAACTGTGAATATACATGTCTCGTTTATAAATACCTCGTTATATATACAAGATAATATTGATCCATGACTATTCAATAACGTTCTTATATGCAACAGCATAGCCATAATTAATCAATCATACACCACAAGGTTCGTCCTATAATATATGATTAGATCAATGAACGGACTTCTACCGTGGATGTCCCATAATATTCAAAGGCTCTGTGCCAGAGGACCTCACCGCATTAGTTGACCCTGCTTAGAAGCCTGAATCTTGAACTTAGGAAAAACCCTGGCAATGCCAACATATTTGCCACTATGTATGTTGTCAGAGAGTTGTATCTCGTTCGATCTTTATTTATTAAAATTCGAGAAATTAAGTAGTTTTTCTAGTGTCAACCATATTTCAATTCGAGAAATTAACTTGATTGCTATTTCATGTTGTATCAACCATATTTCAATTCAACTTATGAAGCCCTTCATATATAGAGTGTGCGTATAATGAACTTATAGTAGTCTAGACCTTTGCCCAGTAGTACTAATTATAAACTAGGCACTAATAATTCATAATTGCAAATCTGTGATGAATCAAGCATTTTAAGGAAGCACGGAAATCACGAATCAGGCATTTTTAGAAAACTGCGAAATCCGTTGCCAAAACCACATTGACTTTAATCATTACTTGTTGGCTGTTGCAGATAATTAAGATCGTGATTAAGAGAAGAATAATGATGCCTTTGCCTTTAATCTGTCAAGTGACGCGGCAGTAATCATGCAATCAATCTGTGGAAAAAGGCTTTCATATAACGTGACCCTCTTTCTAAAGAACCACTAAGTCCAGTCCAGGTAACGACCTTTAAACAGGGACTCGGAGTTGACCACCCAAGAAACCGGTGATTCAGCGTTACTAGCTAACGGCGCCATGATATTGTTACGGAGCATCTATCGTCCCCTAAAACTTGATGGGCTTTTCTGTGAGAGAATTTCATGGGCTTGAAAGGCCTACTAACTGTAACAACGCAGTTCATTATTAGCTCATCTGGTGTGAGCAAGTCGACTCCTTTCGGCCTATCGACATTGGGCCTATGTCTTGTAAGCAACACTTTAGCGATAATGTTTGGGGTACCGTGGCCGGCACTGGATTGCGTAGCCGATTCAAATATGTCGTCAGCAAGACACTCTAAGAAGTGTATACTTACCAACACATTTTTCCAACTCTAATTTTGCGTTTAATTTGTTGCACATATGTATACAGGATTTTCATATTTTATACTGAAAAATTCTATCTAGTGAATTCGAGTATTTGACCACAAAATCCATTAACGACACGATTAGAATTTGTTTTTTGAAAGCAACCATACTGTGGTTGAGGTTACATCATGGTGATGATCATATTAATGGATAATCACAATTTTTAGAGCTAGAATTCTGCCACGATTTTTCTGTTGAATAGAAAATCAAATGTTTAAACCGGTCATATTGCAACGAGAAACTGGATTCCCATCTTTTCAACCAAATTTGCGGTTATAATATATAGTCTGGTGAATGAGAAAACCCAAAGCCCAAATCCACCCCTAGCCCAAACTCCCATGCCCATTCGAGCAAACCCAAAGCCGCTATTGCCTTAAGAATCATCATAACTCGAAGTGAAGCCAATTCATACTATTATTGAATAATGGAGGAGCCATGGATTATTGGAATTTCTCCAAAGCATACTATTAGATTAGTTACCACTAAAAGGCGAGACTGCGGAGAGACTCGTGGCCACAATAGGACTCCTCACCACATACTTTCCTCCATCATGAACCCAACTCAACGACCCTTGCACCACAAACTCACTCAACAGCTTCGGCCCTTCCACCCTCAGCTTGTAACTCAGCTTCTCGCCCTTCTTCCCGAACACCAACTTCTCCGGCTCCACCTTCACCACCACGCCCTTCATCGCACTCAGCTTCGCCGTATAGCTAGCGGCTCCATCTCCGACATTGGTCACCACCCTCCTGAACTCATACACCACCACCCTCGGTTCCAAACCCGGCCCGAAGTCATTGAAGTAGGCAACGAAAGAAGGGTAGTTGAGGTCCGGGGCCTCGGACCCATTACCGCCGCACTTGTGAGCCGACGATCTGGTGATGACTCGGATCTGACTCGCCGT